GGAACAATTCCATTACATTCTACTATTTCATCTGCATCTTATACACAAACCGTGCAGCAGCCCTCAGCTCCTGTAATGCAGTACGATTATGATCCACCGCCGCCGATGCCAACGTCTCCAGATTATATACCACCAAATATGCCTTACCCTCAAGCGATAGATTTTGCTTCGCCAAATCAACCCAGTACGTCGACTAATCCGTGGGACATACGTGAGTGAAGTTTTTCTTTGTAAACAATTATTTTGAAAATTTAATATTAAATCTTGAAAATATATATCAGCCTTTGTACCGTACAATTAAATATTATTTTTATTTTATTGCTTCATTCAATTATAGAAGTACAGAAAATCAAGGTCAGAGAGAAAATATTTTTCTGTGACAATATTTTTGTTATTGAATTAAGAAATAAAAATATTATTTTTCAAGATTTATTATAAAAATTTGATCTGCATGTAAGAACTCTTTAACATATTCCACTGTACTAATGACCCGCGCTGGACTTTTCATTCAAACTATTTATTTTGGCTACAAAAACATAATTATAAAATAATTATTGATATATAATTGTATATACATATTGTAATTATGATATCAAATGATACAATATTGACGCCTTCTTTATAATAATTTTTATAATTTTTGTAATTATGAAATATTTATTAGGTGTACAAAAAAGTTCTGAGCTTTTTTTTGTAAAATTCAATCTTTATTTATTATAATCGTACGGAAATGGCTTGCTGCGTAACGCCAAGCTGTTCTGCAAGCTCCTTTTCAGTTTGCGCAGAGTTTATATCCAGCAGTGCTTGCAATTCGTCCGTTTCAATCTTTTCAGGGCGTCCAGCACGCGATTCATCTTTAAGACTGAAATCTCCTTGGCGAAACTTTTGATACCACCTTTTGCATGTTGCATGACTTACAGCGTTCTCTCCATATGCAGCACAAATCATTTCAGTGGCTTCAGCAGCATTTTTCTTCAGATGAAACGCGAAGTGGATGGAAAATCGAATATGCTCTTTTGTAATTGCCATCGTGAACACTACTGATTTTTGAGGTTATGTGCATCAAACGCCAAACCGTATCGCATTTCAGGAGGTTAAATGTTACTGTTTTAAAACCCCAAAAGGGCGGGAAGATATATAAAATTTAAATTGTTATTTCGGTTGTATCAAATCTAAAGCTCAGAACTTTTTTGTACACCTAATAACAAATATATCAAACGCAAACAAAAATACTGTGATGGTAAAGTTACTTAAGATTGGCCTAGTACAGACATTAAAAGATATAATTTTTAAAAAACTATTATTTCTTTATCTAGCACCGCCATCGTATGAAGAATGTATGCAAAGAGCGGATAGTATCAAAGATGAAGATGAGTCAAATTACGTACATGGTGCCAACGAGCCTTTCGCACCAAGATATCCGGTCTTCAATTTCACAACACCACGTAAGAATGAAGTAATATTTATTACTGAATCTATCATTTTTAATATTGCATTTTCAAATTTTTTTTTCATAGATCCACCTAAAAAATAATTGAAAATAAAATACTGGAAAATAAGCTGAGACAAGGTGAATACACCATAGTAGCATTAATTATTTCTACTCGATGCGTTTGTGATAACAAAAAAGTTAGGAAATCAAAAACACATCTTCTGATTGCTACTACCTCATATAATATATAATATCTTGTATAAATATATTACTCAACTTTTTTAAGTGTAAATTAATCACGTATACATATTTTTATACTCTATATCACACTGCTTATATGATTACAAATGTACTGTGCAGTATGTTTCATGCAGAAAAAACTATATGTATAATATACAATAAAGAATATAATTTTGCGATATATACTTCGTACGCAATGTTTATTTATACGATAGTAATTAATACGCTAAAATATTTTTTTTTTAATTTAGGAATAAAATCTACAAAAAGGAGTATGCAAGGAGAAATAAAGATAATTATGCCAAAAAATGGCATATTTACACAATTTATTTTATATCTCAACATCATATCATAATCATTATCGAGAGTATAATAGCAAAAGTAACGTTAATAAGGATTTCGAATTTCGGTTAGAACAGCAGGAATAATAAAATAGAAAAAGGAAAAAAGGAAGAAAGGGAGGGAGAAAGGGAAGAGAGATTCATCCCGATAACTTGTGCAAGCGAATCGATTTGAAGAATTTGAAGTGGTGAATGTGAAAAGTGCAATATATGGAAGTCGGAGATGGAGCGAAAAACATAAGGGAAAAGGCTATACGATACAATCATAAATTTAGCGCGCGAACGTCAACTTGTATATGAGATTTGCTATTCTACAATAATTGTATTCCAAATTTACAGCATAGCAAATGTACATGGTATTATTATTCACATTTAGCCACCAAATGCCCGGCAAACAATATTGTAGGAACTGAACCCATCCATATCGACGCTTTTAACACTGCCTTAAATATTGACAAAGGAATACAATCAAGTATCTTATTCCGATTTTAATAAGTTTTGATATATTAAAGTATAAAAAAAAAGATCTTTAACTGAAAATCGAACTCCAACGAGACGTCTGCTTTACCGATTCAGTGGGACTTACACGATTTATGTGACGTCGATACATACTAAAATAAACGATTTTAGAGAGAGAATCTCTCTAAAAAGATAAAACTCTTCTTTGAAAAAAATCGATTTTTTTCTTTCTTAATATATATATATATAT